TGTTTTGGTATAAATTGGTAAACAAAAGCTTTATCTTTTGGCATTTCTTATTTTATACCTGTTTTTTAAGCCACAGTGATTGCACAGGAGGATTCCTGGAACATCCACGCGTTGTGGAAGAGAGTGCCTGCGGGGAGTGGAGGGCGATGCAGAAGCAGGCTGCTGCTGGAGCAGCGTCCCAGCCCTGCTCCCTGTGAGGTGATGAGGGACAGTTCTGGTCACGTTTTCACTGGGTACAGCTCTGCTGGGCACGGGGACTCTGATTGTGTGCTGTCTCATGGAGCCGCAGAGAACAGGAGCCATCAGAGGGCAGAGGCTGAGCAGGTGCCACTCCTTTGCATTGTAGTATTCATCATCATTATCTGTTGTGTTATCAGTGTTCTTCCGTGAAATCCAAGTCCTGTTTAAAACCTTATGCTTTTTGTTGTTGTTGTTGGCTCTGAAAAAGCTGCTCAGGTGTGCTGGCAATGATTTTTCCTCAGTGACTGATCCTGATATCTGGTAACTTTTTCCAAAATCTGCCTGACTAGAAATATATGTACTTTTCTAGAGAAAACGAACCCACTTATCATGCACATATTTTTAATTTAGATGTGTTTTTAAAGAACTTTTTATAATTATTAGCTATAAAAATAGTAAGGTTCCTATGGCTGAATAAGATAAAGAGAGTAGTGAAATAATATATTATGTTGGACTTCAAAGGATAGTGCTTCTGCATTTATCATCCATGCTTGGAAAAGACATGTTTATGGGCAACTCACTTCCTTGTTATCTTTTTACAAACTGTTTGGTAGTTACAGTAGTTAGGTTCAAGGTGGTGTGTTAGGCAGCCAATAGTAGGGACTATGAGTAGTTTCCTGTTGTATAACTTCAGCCTTAGAGAAGTTAAGCATTGGCTCTATAGTTAAACCTATGTAGACAAGGGGGAGGTCCACAAAGGTCAATTTGTCGGTGCTGGGTAAATGGCTTAAGGAGGGTGAGGTGAATTGGCTTCCGGATCTCTCTTTATGGACATGCAGAGTCCAGATGAATAGCTCAAAGGTAGCACCTTGCTTTTGGATGGCTAACGTGAAATGCAATTAATCCTGTCTTAACGTGATCCCCTATATCAGGAAAGGACAGTGTTAGACATTTGAAGGTGGCACTAAAGAGCAACTAGAAGTCAAAGCAGTTTGCAAAATATATTCTCAGTATCTGCAAAGCCTATTTTGGGACTGCTGTAATCCATTTGTATACCCTCTGTCATTTTTATAACATACTGTAACTGAGGCACATTTGTTTTCCTGAATAACCCAAACTAGGAGTGAAGTGATTCTCTTGGAAAGTAAGAGCTTGGGTACTTGACTGACACACAGACAATAAAAATGCATCCTGAAGCTTGCAAAGGTGAATACGGAAGTTGCTGTTGCTAAGGTGGTTCTGTTGTAAATATGAGTCGGGAAGTGGAAAAGCTGAGTTATGACCACAAGGCTTTATGTCAGGTTTCACACTTGTAGTGGGTTTTTTGAGGTTTGTATCTTGTGAAGTGGTCATGTTTAGTGTCCATATACATGCACCTTAACTGTTATTCAGCAACACTTTTAAGCTTTTCCATTTCAGGCATTCATTCAGTTTTTTAAGATTTTTCTTACGCTATTCTTTTTCCAGGGTTTAAATGCTTTGGGTTTGTAATCTCCCCAAAGGTGTGGGTTGTTTTTTTTTTTTAAGACTTAGCAGATCTGTGAAATTTCTCTCAGTACAGAAAGATAAGGAAAAGCATGCTTCATTTTAGTAACAATATTTGAGACTGATAACAGTCGAGATCTTGTAGCAATCTAGTAATGACTGTATGTCTTGGAAATACCTTCTGAGATAAACATGCAAATCTGCAAATAGAGCTGAATAACTATATTTTTTCCCTAATTTTTTTAGAAGTAAAAGTTTCAAAATTTTAGTTGATCTGTATGTGATGGTTAGTTTTCCCAAAAATAATGCATTAAAACGCGCGACTTCCGGTCGTGCTCTTTGTATTTTGATGTGCAAGGTGAGAGAGATGTTTTGGTTTTTTTTTTTCCCTTGGGTGGGTTGTCAGCCTTGTCCAGCCTGTGTGCTGGGGAGCCGGGCAGCGCTGCTGTGCTGGCCAGAGCCTGCCCTGCCCTCTCACTTCTCTGCATTCATGTGCTGCTGCTTTCCACCACAGAACTAGTAAATAAAATGCCGTTTCGTTTTTGGTTGGTTGGGGTTTTTTTGTTGTTTGTTTTGATTTTTTTTTTTTTTTTTTTTTTTTTAAAATGTGACCACAAAGGTTCAGAAACCTAAGAAATGTGGACTCTGGTGTGTCCCAAAGGAGGCTGACCTTTTTCCATGGTGCATGGTGTGCTCTGTGCTCAGCAAAGAGGGTGGCAATGCACAGAGAATCACAGTCTGGGGATTGCCTTGCTCTGTGCCAAATTGTGTTCCCTGTCTCCAGTATGTAATTTTCAGGCAAATCCATTGGAGTCTTTAATCTATAATTAGGCTTGTAAGCTTCTTTAGACTCTTTGGATTTCCTTTTTTAAATAGCAGAGAACAACATTCTTATTCCATGAATCTCTGACATTTTCCAGATAAAGCTTTCCTGGAGGTTTTCTATTTATTTCTTTTTCCCTTCAGTTTTCTAAAATGGGTAGGTAAAGATCCCCGTTCCATCAAGAAATGAACTGAAATTACCTGGTACAAATAACTGTGATACAGAAGAAGAATAATTTCCCAGCAGTACTGGGCATAAATGTTTTTCAACAGTCTAAAGTAAATATATATTTCTAAAATTGGATTTATACAGCAGGTCTTTTTGTGCTTAAAAAAAAAGTTAATGAAAATGTCACTCCTTTTTCATGTGTTGATACATGAATATTTGGCAAAATAAATCACTTCTGACCCCAACCAATGTGAATGCCCCTGTTTGCCTCAGGACGAATTACAGCCTGGAGGGACGGGCATTTTTGTATTTCACTGTGCAAGTGTGTTTATCTACGTGCCTGTGCAAACCTCTGTGTGTATGCATTGTATACACTGAGTGTGGTTGCATAGCATTGATTTCATAGAATCACAGAATCATGGAATGATTTGGATTGGAAGGGACCTCAAAGATCATCTAGTTCCACGCCCCTGCCATGACAGGGACGTCTCTCACTAGATCAGGTTGGTCAAGGCTCCATCCAGCCTGGCCTTGAACACTTCCAAGGATGGAGCATCCACAACCTCCCTGGGCAATCTGTGCCAGTGCCTCACCACCCTCAGGGTACAGAACTTCTTCCTTGTATCTGGTCTAAACCTACACTCTCCCAGCTTCCACCAGTTACCTCTCGTCCTATCACTACAGGCCCTTGTAAGCAGTCCCTCCCCAGACTTCTTGTAAGGCCCCTTCAGGTACTGGAAACCCCCTATAAGATCTCCCTGGAGCCTTCTCTTTTCCAGACTGAACAAGCCTGACTCTCTCAGCCTGTCCTCGAAGGAGAGGTGCTCCAGCCTCCTGACCATCTTGGTAGCCCTCCTCTAGGCTCGCAGCCTCCTCGACCCAAGTGTCGTTTCTCATTGTTTTCTCATTTTCAGGTATTTGTTACAAAAGTACTCTACAAACTTTTTTTTTGCTTTGCAAGAATTTTGATTTTAAGAATATTTGGATTCAGAAGATCTTTTCCCTTTTTCCCTTCTTTTTCCCTTCTTTTCTCCCCTTCTTTTCTCCCCTTCTTTTCTCCCCTTCTTTTCTCCCCTTCTTTTCTCCCCTTCTTTTCTCCCCTTCTTTTCTCCCCTTCTTTTCTCCCCTTCTTTTTTCCCTTTTTCCCTTTTCCTCCATCATTAAATAGTAAATATACTCTCAGTGTGCTGTAGGTAAGCAGTTTTAGCATAATTTTCTGTGTGTCTTGGAGAATTGTGGTTTCCCCTAAATTGACCTAAGGGATTTTTGCTGTATGTTTTCTACTGGTCAGTTCTGGTTTCCCTCTTCAGCTCCCTGTAGGACAGCTTTTGGAGGACTCGCTGCTGTCCTGTTTTGGCAGGAGGGATGTCCTACTTGTCCTGCCTAGCAGTCCACAGAAGCAGAACTATGTCCTTCTGCTCCTTACCAGCCCCGATGACTCTCAGCTGGAGGCATAAGGAAAATTCAGACATCTCTAAACCATTGCTGTTGCTTTTTATCATAAGTGCTCTGACAGAATGCTCTGAGAAAGGAGAGAAGCGGTAATAAATACCATCGTTATTTTAAAATCCTTTTGGATCAGGGGATTCTTTAACAATTTACACATTTGGCTTGGCTCTAAGTTTTTTAGCATCCTTATGTTCATTTAGGGAAGTTACTATACATTTATTTATAGGAAATACATTCTGGAGCTTAATCCAAAAGTTTGCAAACTTCCTGGCTCTCCAGAGAGCCAAACACACGCGTTTCCGTGTCTGTCTGTGTTTTCTGAGGATTTCACTATCCTACCTTGGCAGTACTGTGGTCTTCCCAAATTCTGCTTCAGTGTATATACATCTCGGTTCTGCTGCTGGGGTTTGGCTTTTTTTGGTATATTGCTGCTCCTCCACAGTTACATTTTTACTGTGTAGAACTTGTTTTATCTTCCAAAGCACAAGTTATCAGTAATTTATGCTACTATTTTCACCACACTCAGGGTTGTTTTTTTTTAAAATTATTCTTTCTGTAATCTGAGGTGTGTTTTGGCCATTGCTTATTCTTCTGCTTGAGGTAATGTTGTGCAAAAACAACTACTGCACGTACACCAGCCCTCCAATTATTTTTCAACATTTTGTAGGTTGCATAATTTTAGTCACAGTACTACTGCAAAAATGGGACTTCTGGAGGGCAGCTTCCTGAAAGCGTTCGCATGACTTTTCCATGTTCGCACAGTTCTTTTAAGATCCTTTGTTTGTTCTTGCTTAGAGCTAATAAATGCTGAATAAAAATTCTCTTTTGAGAGTACTTTTCTGAAAATTAGCAAATGCTTTTGCACTTTTGCTAAATGTAATTCCCTGTCTTACAGATGCAGAGAGAAGAAGTATGATTATTATAGCTTGCCGAAAACCTCTGTTGTGATAGCTTTTTATAATGAGGCTTGGTCAACACTTCTGCGAACTGTTCATAGTGTTCTTGAGACATCTCCAGATATACTTTTGGAAGAAATTATCCTTGTAGATGATTACAGTGACAAAGGTAGGTAGAATAATACTAAGTAATGTTGATTGTTGATGGGTTTTTTTTGGTCAGCCAGTCTGCAGGAGAAAAAGGTACGCTGTTTGGTTAATCATACCATGAGATCGTACAACATAGGCATCTAATTGGAAAACAGTGATTTTTGTAGCATGCCAGTGAAAAATCTGACTTCTGGAACAAATTTAGTTTAGAGTGGGGAAGCATGTTTGCTGTGTTGTAACATGGGTGCTTACATACGTAGATAATGTTTAGTATGATCAGAGCACTTCAGGTTTCCTAATGTGAGCAAGTTTCCATTGCCCCAAGGTTGCCCTGGTGTCTGGTATAGTGAGAGCTACCTCGTTATCTGATTTTGTTTGAATTACGAGACACAAAGACAATGCTGGTGTTGTTCACCACACGTGAATTGTGTTAAGAATAAAACTTTTAAGCAAAGAAAACTGCACGTAATGTTTGAGAAGCACTTAACAATTTGGAAATGAATTACAGAGGCAAATACAAAGCATTCAGTTTCTTGAAAACAACTGCAATTTGTGTCCATTCAAGTTCAGTGGTTTTTTTTTTCCTTATGCTTTCTTAATATATAGCAAAATCAGAGTTCAAAATGCCGGTATATTTGAGGCACTGCTGTACATAACACTGAAAAAAAGAGCTTTCTGTAGCGTGCCATAAACTAGTCGTTCCAGAACTATATTACTACTTTCTCCTTTTTTTTATTTGTGTGTTAAAGAACATTTAAAGGAAGCTTTGGAGGACTACGTGGCTGGCTTACGCAAGGTGCGTCTTATCCGTGCAAATAAGCGAGAGGGGCTGGTTCGAGCCCGGCTGCTGGGAGCCTCCGTGGCGAAAGGAGACGTCCTGACCTTCCTGGACTGCCACTGCGAGTGCCACGAGGGGTGGCTGGAGCCGCTGCTGGCAAGGTGAGCTTCTGCTCTGAGCTGCTTCTCCACTGCAGAAGGAGCGGAGGTGGTTTGGCACATTTCTGCAGGGGAATAATGGCTCTTGGTAGGTGTTTGCCAAAGTCTGGTCCCTGGGGCACTGTGAGCGTGGAAGGTTGGGAGGTGGATTTTTGTTTTCTCCTGCGGACCAGGCTGTTCTTTTTCTTCAGAGAAGGGAAAGTGTTATTTTTAGGAAGAGGAATCCTCCCCAGCTTTGAAACTACCTTGGGAAAGGTGGCTACGACTCTCGGCCTGGGCAGTAGATGAGAAGGTCTGGAAAGATGCATGTGCCATGACATCCTCTGTTGCAGGGCAACGCACACGTCAGCAGACTGGAAGAGAAGTCAGTAAACTCCGGCTTCCCAGTCCTGGGCCAATTTATCTCTCTTTCCAACTGGCAGGAGATTTCCAAAAGCACACACTGTCGTGAGGTGTGTGAGTCTTCCTGATTGCTAGTGGAACTTGTCTTCTCAAACTCCCCATGTCCATTTGAAATCGTATCTGGAATAATACTTTTTTTCATTAGAATTTTCATATTTAACTTCTTTTTAAATTTCCTACCGAGCATAGTCCAAACAACTGTGAACAGAATAGATAATGTGAGGAATGGAAAAGGGCTAAAAGTCAAAGAGTAAGCATGGTTTTAACGACTGCCCTCTGCAGAAACAGTACATAACTGTGGAGACGATTCTCTAATTTGTGCACTTATTTAGCACGCCACTAGATGGCAGTCTTGAGAAAGGATTTGGATAATTTCAAGTCTAATAAGCCACCACCAGTAAGAAATTAGTTAGCCCTGGGTGTGTCTTGGAATCTTTGCCCTTCTTGCTGCAGATGTACATCTCTAAGGGGACATTTATGTTGACGTATCTGCACTTTCATGTATGGAAGCAAATCAACAAAGTTAACATTTTGCAGTGCAAACATAGTTGAATTTGTAAGCTGCGTATGCATTGTGCCATCTAGTTAATTCTTAACTTACAGAAAAGCAGTCACTTATCTGATTCCTTCTGTAACTGAAATCACACACCAGATACCTGATCTTTACTCTTTTTTCCTTTAGAAGAGCAGCAAAGCATTTTTACATTTTATTGGTATTTTTTTTCCTGTGTGTACATATCATTCTCATTGCTTTGTACATAAGCTTTGTGCAAGTGAGACAGGATACGGCAATATTTGTATAAGCCCTTTTGTGCACTCCAACAAACAGGATTTCAATGGGAGATCATAAAGAAGAAAACAGCTGTGTCGCATCTTCCCTCTGGCAGCAAGGGACTATTTTGTATTTAAGACAGTTTTTCTCAGTGCAGACAATAGTTCTGTAGAACCACTTCCATTCTCTGCTGCATTTAACCACCACAAACTGCTCTAGTTTCAGAGTTGGAGCCCTTTGGTCAGTCTGCAGGTTTTAAGCTTAATAATCCCATGAGGAACTGGCTCCCCTCGAATGACAGATGCTTCAGCTCTCTTCCTTGTTTGGCAGTATAGTGTATTCAGTTTTTCTTCTTGTCTGCAATACTCAAATCTGAAGATGCAGGGCTAAAACAAGCACCAGCATCTTGAAGTTGAAAAGTCAGTTTTTCACTGAACTAAGAGGAGATGTCTAAGATTTCTGTAGAGAAGATTGATAAAGAGTGATTTAGGCAGAAAGCCTTAAATGGAGCTTATGTGCTTGAAGTTGATCTCTCCTGGTACTGAGAGGCCTTTCCAGAAGTTGAGGTGAACGCAAAGGATCCCACAGCCTTTTGTAAGAGCAAATGCTGATGGAAAGGAATCCAGAAAATGCTGCATGGTACTGAGAAACATGAGGAAGGAGTTTTTCTCCTTGCAGAAGCAGATGTGCCAGAAATGTTGTCAGCTCTGATGTATTCTTAGTCTGATAAAGATCTTAACTATGTTTACATCAGTCTTCCTCATAGGTGTGTCATTTTACAGTACTATCTTGTTTCTCATTTTTATCTCCTATGTTGTCAAGGTTTCTGGAAGCCTCCTTCATGTATGTTTCACTGTTGGAGATCTGATTCCTGTACTGCATGCATGTTTGGTTTTTTGTTGTTTTTGTTGTTTGTTTAAGATCATGGCTTCTTTTTGAATTACTACTGTAGTATTCAGTGTAACTTTTTGCAGCTGATCACAGTTACAAGAATAGCCATGAGCCAAGCACCTAGCTACCGTATTCATCCTTGCAGAATGATAGTCATGCAGGTTTCTAAATATCTTGAATGCAGCTACATGCACAAAACAAATTAGATGTTTTTGAGACTGCGGTGCTGGATATGACAGTCAAGCCAGACACTGAACGTGTTATCTCTGGCCATCTGGCATACCTCACTTCCACTGTCCAGGAAGATTGATGCTTGCCAGGTGTTTACAGCTGAGTCCATCCTGATGCATCCTCAGTAAGAAATTGGTGGTTATTCTTGTAGCTATCTTTTCCTTGTGTTGCAGCATGAGTTGAAAAGAAGCAAAACTTTGCACTTGGTATTTGTAAGCGTTCTGTGTTCTTGGCCATTCTGTTTTCCGAGAGATGTTTCTAATGGAAGTCTCCTTTTACTTTTAAAATCATACTAGGATTGCAGAGGAAGAATCAGCTGTTGTCTGCCCTGTTATCGATGTTATTGACTGGAATACGTTTGAGTACTTGGGAAATGCTGGTGAGCCACAGATCGGTGGGTTTGACTGGAGACTCGTCTTCACTTGGCATAGTATCCCTGAAAGAGAACAAAACCGGAGGAAGTCAAAGACTGATGTGATCAGGTTAGTTTTTTATGCTTCTTATGAAACTGTGCATGTTAGCAATGTTTGTACTTCACTTGGAAATGCCAGGTGCTGAAAAATATTTGAGAAATGAGCATATTATTAAAAATGACTTAGCCTGTGTAGTTCTTTTTTCCAAGATAGCTCCTGCTCACCACACTCCTAAAAAAACCCAAACAAACCTAGTCTGAAAGCTGATGTGTCTGTGTAATCTTCCTTGTGTAGTCCTTATTGCACAAGCAGTCTCTGGACTCCTGCAGGCAAATTCGCAGATGCTTCTCGGCACGTGGGAAGGTTGTAACTGATTAACTAAAACTAAAGAATGTCCTCTGTGCAAAACAAAGACGTCCTGGTTGTAAAAAATGTGTGATGGTCAGCGATGACAAGGAGGAAACAAATCATCGTCACCAAGAAGGCAAAAGTAGTTTTGAAGACTTCATCTGTGCTGTAGCAATAGTGGTGGTTCCTAGCTCTGTTTTCAGAGGTGAACCAGTGTGTCGGTTTTTCATTGGAATGAAATGGTAAAGCTTCACCTACTGACGTTTCTATGAAGGGCTAATTCATAGGCGCTCATAAGGATATCTTCCTTGTGGGTTTTCGTTTTGTTTTCTTCTGAGACGGGTTGCAATTAATTGGTATCTTCTGTCACTCCACACTATTTTAGGAGGAGGAAGGTAAGAGTACAAGCAATGCATCTGGAAAATGGACACTGTAGACAAAACCCCTGATAGTTGAGGATTTGCTACACTCAGTTTGGAAATTCCTGTATTTCAGTAGTGTATTAGTAGGAAATGAAGCTGTTGTTTGCCATTTTTAATATCATGATTTTGTTAGTCCTTGCTTTTATTTATAATCTGTTATCTTACTGACTACAACAAATACAGAGTTCTTTCAGAATTTTCTCAGTCTTTTCTAGGTCACTTATAATGTTAATAATACCCAGTACTTGCCAAATATTAATGCACTTATCCTCAATTGAGAGAAAATAACTTTTTTTTTTAAAATGGAAAAATCGAGGCAGTAATTTAGTCCTTCTCAGCATACGTTAGTCCATATCCTCCTGAAAAAGAGTTTCAAATAGAGTAAAAGTTTTTAAAGCTTTTAGTTTAAATATGATGCTTTTCTTCTCCATGACAAAAAGAACTGTCTTTGGCATGCTACAGGGAAAACAATGAGGGATAAAGTTTCACAGTAGCCCGAGGACTGTGAGTGTGGTGAGTGCCTGGAGAGAGCAGCAGCACTGAGCGTGGTGACCCTGGACAGGTGTGTTTGGAGAGATGAGCTCTGGAGTGAGACAGAAGAGCTTGATTGGTTATGGAGTTTGTTGTTTTGTTTTTTTTTTTCCTCCTTCTGTCTCACCTCTTCTCTCTTCATTCTTTGAAACAACGTATGACAGTGTAAAACAGTCTTACTTCAGAAGGACGGCTGGTAAGATTAGTTTTGACAGATGAAGAGTAACTGATCACTGCACCTAAGATTTGTTAATATTTACCTCAAGAGCAATTTAGTGAAATTCACCAAGTGTCAGCTGAATTTAGTTCCAACTAGCATTATATGCTTGGTACTTTAAGGAGGGTAATTTTCGAAGGCTGTGAACAATTAGGAACAATAATGAACAAATTCATGTTTATATATGCACACACCACCCAACTGAAAGTCCATCCCTTAAGTGCACTGTTGGTCTGGGCCTTTTAGTCTTCAGTCATCCAGTCTTGGCCCTGTTTTTCTTCCAAACGTAGCAAGGAATTAAAAAAACCCAAACAGATGGACAAGTCTTAGAAAGAATAAAAATCTCTTCAGGGGTTCTGTTTACTTAATTCTGCTCAGTTGATGTCTGAGAGTTTTTCCACTTGATATGTATGTGATCAGAAATGTTATTACTTAATATATAAGGATACTGTACGTATAATTTCAGAGCTGACTAAAATAATTCTGCCACAAAAAAGCTTATGTTCTATTATGTGAAAGAAAAGGGTGGTTGTTTATGCCACAAAGCCACTGCAATTGCAAAAACTTGTATTAACACAATGTTTATCTTCTCTGATTTCACTGTTATTTTTATTTTAATACATTCTGGAGCTCATTTCTGATACAGTTTGTTACTGCAAAATTGAATTTAAATGGCCTGACAATAAACTACTAAACTGATCAATGGCTGATTGTTATTTTGTATCCAAGAAAGACTTAGAAAATGGAAAATAAAAATGCATTGTATTTTTTATCTGTGATACGTTAATTTATATTTTATGCTTTTTATTATATTGAGAATTCTTATTCTCTTTTCTAGGTCTCCAACCATGGCAGGTGGATTGTTTTCTGTGAGCAAGAAGTATTTTGATTATCTTGGTTCATATGATACAGGAATGGAAGTCTGGGGAGGAGAAAACCTTGAATTCTCATTTAGGGTAGGTGGCTCTTTGGAAAGTTTGTGGGTTTTTTCCTGAGAACAAAACCAAGTTTCTTATTTTTTCTTCATGCCTTTTTAGTTAATGAGATAGCTGTAATGTAAGCAAGTGTTAAGAAGAGAATATTTTTGGGAGGTATTTATATGAATTTCTTTTCCTTATTCTCACACTTCAGTGTTTTCCTTTAAAAACAAGTATGTCTTTTGTTTTGAATGCCAGTGTCAAATGTAAGTAGTGGAGTGATATTAGCAAGTGAAGTTTGCATCCTGTGACTTGAAGAGTGCCAGGTTCCTGGTTAGACTCAATGTTCTTAAAGGTCTTTTCCAACCCATATGATTCTATGATTATATGAAGAGGATTGTTGGAAAGAAACACTTACAGTGCTTTAACGAGCCTCTGGAGCTCTCTCCGTGGTTGATGGAGTGAGCAGGAGGCAGCTGGTGGCAGTTACCAGCGGGGCAGGACAAGCCAGGCTGAGCACTTCTTGAAAGCTTTATTCTGTTTCACTTCAGGAAAAGTTAGTGTAAAGGTTACAAAAGGTGATGTTATCGGTTCCCCTGAACCAGGTGTTTGACCCGGTGAAGTGCAGCAGCATGAATGAGCAGTGCCTTTGCTCCTTCAGCGTGGAGAAACGCGGTGTTCTTGTGGGCCAGAGGTTGCGTCGAGCTGCCTGGCACACAGGAGAGGCCCCACAGGAGCAGCAGCAGAGTTCCCAGGAGCCGGCTTGCTGGAAGGGTTGGGGGTGGGATTCCTATGAGCAGGCTACTGTGCCCTGCGGGGGCTGAGCAGGCCCATGGGCGCGCCAGCCCCGGGGGCCAGGATGGACTGTGCGATGGCCAGCGAATGTGCTTGGGCTTGTTAATTTTACTGGTGCAGATTGCCAGAAGGATCCGGGCGTTTGGATCCAAATTGTACATGGCATGCTTTCTTGTGTTTGATTTAAAGCACCTGTATGCTCTTGCTTCCTGCGGTGAGGGTTTTTTGTGGAAGAGAGCAGAGCGCTATGATGTTGCTTAACTCTGTTCTTCTGGCTGCCCATGGTGCTGAAGAAGGTCAAGAGGGATAAATCAGTGTTAATTCTCTTGTCTCTGTGGTTTCTAGACCTGCCAGACCTGAATATTAGGAGGAGGGATACTGAAAAACACTGTGAATTAATTCATTGTTCTTGTCTCTGAAAACACCACTGTCTCCTGATGACATGAAAGGACTTGTCCTCAAGCCTCCTCTTTCTCATACTTCGATTTATTCTACACTGAAAAAATTCTCTGTGGTGTTGAGAGGTTCAGTGAGGATAATGCTTCAGCTAAAAGCATGATGACTAGAAGAGATGGAGGCTGTGTGCTGAATGCAGGATTGAGTCAATGTGCTTAGATTTTGAATTGCTTCATGCTATTTGGCTGGATAAAATTTCACTCCATGGGCATAATGAGCATTGAAAACCCTTTTTCCAAGGGATGCAAAACATCCCCTTTCATCTTCCTCCTCCTATACATGGAGTGAGGGGAACCTGTTCATAGTGGTTCCCCCCACTCCCCCTCTGCTCTTGGTTCTGCTAGTAGCGCCGCAGTTTAAGTTTGTTTCTGGGGACTGCCGCTTGACTCATCTGTGGTCTGTCTTTCAACCCATCACTGTGGCGTGAGAGAAAACCACACGCATGTAAGAAGACAGGATTATTTACTGATAAGTCCTTTCTTGTGTTGGAGACTTCATTGCCTGTGAGCCTGGATGATATGCCTCCGATCACCTGGGGTCTTCTCTTTTCTGATCTTTTTGGGTTATTGTAGCATCGTAGAATGGTTTGATTTGGAAGGGACCTTAAAGATCATCTCGTTCTAAGCCCCTTTCTGTCCAGATCTAGAGATCTGTCCTATGGTGGGAGCTGCCAGGATGGGTTCATGCATCTGGGGAGGGTGCTTTGCCCACCCAGCTCCCAGCAGATTATGCATGAGCACCACACTGGGGGCTCAGGCACAAGCCAGCAAGCAAAATTGCAGCAGAGAGAGAGGCAGGAACAGAGTGCTTTCTGTAGTTTGTCTTTGTTCAGGAGGTAGTATCCTTTTTTAATTCATTATTTCTTCCAGAGAGGTGGCTGAGCGTATAGAGCTTTTCTTCATTCAACATTCACTGACCCAGCATTAGGGCAATTGTGCAGAGACCCTGTCAGGGACAGGGGTCCCGAGGCGAGATCTGAACCTTTGCTGTAGCTTTTCATAATGCCACCATCTGTCTTTGAAAAGAGAAGAAAAAATATCAATAGTCTGCATGCATGAAGATGAAAGTAAAAGTAAAAAGGAATGTCACCTTGTTTCCTCTTTGTGATGAACCAAAAAAGTGTGCTTTTAATAATGAGAGCTACCAGGTAGCCAGACCTAGGAAAGAAACATATTTTCATACACATGAACATGCAAAATATACGTGAAGTCTGACATGCTTCCCTGTTACAGAAGACTGAAATTCTTTTAGGGGAGAATCTTCTCCAGAGTTACTTATTTAGCATCTATTAATCAACTTCATTTTCACTATCGGATTCCTTGCTTTATTTTATGTCTGTTCATTTGTACCTGATTATATAAAGAGGTTGAAAAGTTTTCCATTAAAATAAAAATAAATAAACCTTTTTAGGAATTGTTTAGCTGAAATATATGTGATTTTTGTCTGTAATAGGAAGACAACAGAACTTTTGAACTGTTTTAATGAAAGAAGCAGAATTTAATAAGCATTGCTTAGCAACCTGCAGTTGTTTGGTTTTTAGAGAAATTCAGAATTTTAATTATTGAAAAATCAGCTGTTCTGGAATTCTCTTTTTGGCAGCAATTTAACAGAGATATGGTCAATCTGTTTTACTCCATTTAAATCAGACTTTCTCACGGAAGCGTAGAAGAATGTGCTTCCTTCTTAACAGTACATTTTTTACTTCAGTAGTCTTTATGGTGCATTTTTCATATCTTGTTTAGAACACCTTGATCAAAAGAGTAAAGAGCAATTAAGAATGCTTATATGGAATATAGCAAATATGGAAATTGCTAAACTTTGATGAATTTAATGGTGCTTAATATCTGTTGACAAACAGCTATTCCGTGATAAATTTCAACTTTAAAAAGTTGCATTGGATATAGAAATAATAATGTAAGAAAGCTATTGTTTAGAAACAAATCATGAAAAGGGAGATCTTAAAGTGAAAGTGGATAGCTGGTTTCATAGCAGGTTTCAAAATCGCAGTAGTGTAACTTGGATGTGAAAATACGCAAATTGCTTAAAAGATCAGTACAGATTTCCTGTATAATTCCTTTAATCACCTTTCTGTTCAAATGACAAATGTAACGCATCTCCAAAAAGCAACAAAAAAGAAGAAAGAAACCTCTTGGGAAAAGCAAGAAATTAAAATTTGGAATCTAGGAGGTAAAGATTATCCAGTGCTCCCTATAGATGAATAATGAATTAACTATACTTTTAAGGAAACTGTTTGTTGTAATAGTAAACATGTATTAAGAGTGCTTACAATTTTGTTATTAAGCACAATGTTGTGCCACATGTAAAGGTCTGACATTGTTATGCAAAACCAAATCAACTTGAGACAACATCTGCTAGTTTCAAAATTAAGAAACTTGAGAGAAATCCTAGGTAATTAAGAAACCTCAATAAATCCAACAAAACAAAATACTAAACCAAACTGCCAGAAAAATCCAAAAAACTCTAGTCTGAAGACAACACTCGTGTTTGCTTTCGCCTTCTAGGGACCCAGAAAGTGACTACAGAAGTCCCAGCAAGAGGGAGAGAAAAAGTCTCATCTGATCTGCTGTCATTAAGTACAGAAGCTTTATTTGCTACCTCATGGCTTTCACTCCTGCTGTGTTCATTTGAATAACATGTAACTAAAAATGTATTTGTTATACAAGAAGGCCATCGGGGAGCAAAACTCATAAACGTATCTCGGCTAATTTCCCTTGCCCTCCATTTACAAAGAAGGGAGAGCTGCCGCCTACGCAGGGTTGGATGCATGAGGGGAATTAGCTTACTGGAGTGCCAGTTCTCAAAAAAAACTTCAATGGGAAGTCTATTGGAGCCATTGGCGATAGCCTCAAGTCTGTTCAAGTGCAGTAGTGTGTCCTGACTGTCCTTTCATCTGACAGTTTCGGAAACCTTGTTTCAGGCACCCATCAGAGACAGGTTGTCTGCCACTTTGTGCTTAGTATGAAATGGAAGATGTCTAGCCATGCTTCCCTCTCATTGCATCAAACCTGAGGTCAGTGTCTGTGCGGGTGAGGTGCCAAAAGTCCACGGTTTTCAGAAGCAATGAGAATAATTGCAAAAATTTACACAGATGCCTGAGACTAGTGTCGCTGCTTGGTGGTCATTTATGGGCTTTATCTCCAGGGCCATGTATTTCCTGACTTAGAGAGTCAGAGGCAGGAGGATGTGGGTGGAATGAGTTATGCCAATTCTCCGTTGAGGCTCCAGTACTTTCCCTGACAGCAAGTAGTAATATTGGTTTAGACAGAAGGGGCTGTTTCACTAATCTTGGCTGGGCCACCATGGGTCAGTTAAAGAATTACCTTGCTTTTTCTTTTCACTTGTTGGTTCTTGGGTTCTTTTCTCAGCTTTCCAATGGAAAAGGCTAGTTATGTTTTATGATCAGGCACTCATACCTCTCACCTGAAATGGTGAATATGGAAATGGAAGCACAACTTGTTTTGCAGCAATAATATAACGAGCTGATGTGGTTTGTCAAGTCAGCCTTCCTGCAGAATACAAGAGTGAGTTTCTGGTAAGAAATCTGTCATTGGCTTCTTTGAGGAGGCTCTTCATATGGCTAGTTTGGACCAGAAACATGGCTCTTTTGTTAATAACGCCTATATAACTTGAATTGTTGACCACAGTTAGACCTGCAGAAGTGTCGTGGACTATTTCTTATCAATCCTTCAGAGAAAGTAAAGCTAAGAAAGGGATGATTGCACACCACATGAAAACAGAAATCTCCTTGTTACTCCCAGTGATTTGCTCTGAGTTCAAAAGGATGTAATTTAATCCCCTCAAATGAGACACACATTGTACATGTTGCTTATAGAATGCTGTGACGTTCTTGAGAAGGTTTTGCCCTTGCAAAGACTTGCTGTTACTGTATCTTTCTGCTTGCAAAGATTCAAATTAATGATGCCCAATGTCAATTCTTTGTTTAGATCTGGCAGTGTGGAGGAAGCCTTGAGATCCACCCTTGCTCACACGTAGGTCACGTTTTCCCCAAACAAGCTCCGTACTCGCGAACCAAAGCTTTGGCAAACAGTGTGCGTGCAGCTGAAGTGTGGATGGATGAATATAAAGAAATTTATTACCACCGAAACCCACATGCTCGCCTGGTGAGTTCAAGTCCATGTTCTTGGAATTCCAACAGAATTTCTGTTCAATGAAATAACTATTAATTAAGCTGATGTTTAACATGAAGGGCTTTTTAGGTTTATTTCTTGTTTCTTCTGAAACTTTCTCCCAAACATTAGAAGACGTGTATAGTTAATTTTTAATTCTGTGGAAGAAATGAGAAATTCTCTTAAGACTAGAAGGTGGCCACATTTGTGTCAACATTAAATGAATAAATAGATGAAAGAATAAAGTTAAGCAAGGTGACCCAAGTAAGGAGGAGTTATTTAGCCTAAAATATGCACTTCTATAAAATAGCTGATACAGGATTCTATCAATAAAGAATTGCAGAAGAGACACATAATTAATGAATGCTAATCAACAAGGTTCAGTAGGCAATAGATCTTTAAGTGGACAGCCTGGTGATCATCTTTAGCAAAACTACCTGTCTTGTGATAGTTGTAAAATTTAGGACTGATGTAAAACAAAATGGATTTTTCTGTTTGATTTACTGCTACACAATGCTTGATTTAGAAAAAAAATGTAAATCAATATTGCAAAGATTAATTAAAATCAGTTCTGGCAACTCAGAGTAAAATGTTGCTAATAAAATGTTTAATGTATCGTTTCTGGGGTTTTTTTTACAGTTCGTATTTTTCTTGAGGAGGAAAATAAAAGATCATTTGTTTGCAGAATTTTTCAGGAGATAAATACTGTGAAAATTGAGTAGGTCAGAACAGTAAAACAGTGTTCAAATTCATAGCTTGGATATATTTATTGTGAGGGGCCTGTAGGCTGGAAGACAATAACACTGAAATATCCTCACGATGTCTAGGAATGAGTTATATGAACCTCTGTCATAAAGTCCAAAATTCAGGCCTAAAAGAAACAGCTCTCTCCTGCTGCTCGTTTCTGGAGGTGCTTAATCTCCCCAGGTGCTTCTCTTTTGTGTGGAAAGTTTTCCGAGCACCAGCACTTTCTGGTTTAGTGCGTGATGAGGCTGCCAGGACCCGCCTCTGGCTGCGCCGGACCAGAGCTCACGGCCCAGGCAGGAGTTTGGGGAGTTCCCCCCGACACGTTTGAGTGACCGACCCCAAGAGACATGCATTGGGAAGAACACTTTTGAAACTATCAGGCTTTTAAAAGACCGAAGAAGCTGAATTTAGTTAGCTTCCATCTCGTGCTCCTTTAGGTTAATCTGGGTAATTAGGTTATTATAGTCTACGCATTTGTAATAATTGTTTTACTGTAACATCATAAAAGCAATTTAGGTTTTATTATTAGAGTCTGACTTTGAGAGAAATATGGGCTCTGTGTATGCAAAGACAGGAGCTCACAGGCGATGCCAGGCTGATTCTGCTTCTCATAGGCAAAGAGAAAACAGCAATAAATGCTGACAGTTTTTCTTGTAAACTTCTAGGCAGCTGATGTCTGTGATGACAGAACTTTAGATGATATTTCTGTGCTGGTATTGAAAATTTTACATATTGGCTTAGTGTAACACAGTGGATGTAAGCTGAGATTCAAGATTGGGGGGGGGGGGTTTGTTTTTTTTTTTTTTTTTTTTTCTTTTTTCATGGATCAAAGCTGCCACTGATGCACTTTGGCTTCCGTAATACTCTGTGCACCACTTGTTGCAGCAGTTGAGTTCAGACCTTTTCAATTCATATAACCCAAATATTCAGTTCCATAGCAGAATGGGAAAATGATTGATGCTCTGGCTTCATCAGTTTTGCTTCAAGATTAATGTTCGGACCTCAGAGCTAATGTGTCATGCTGCTTGTTTATTGAAGCAGGCATCTCTTCCTCTGTTTTACATCTGCTTTGTGGTTTTGGTGGTATTTCCACAGCTTTGAGAAATGCAACTATATTTGTGATTTTGATGAAAGAGTATGTCAAGTGACCTATAAAAATATGGGGGCTGCAAACAGTATCTCATGCCTGACTGTGTGAAGTCCCTAGTCAATATAAAGATAGATTTTTGAAGGCAGACATGAAAAGATGTGAACTCTGCTCCAACCCATAGACAGGGAAAAGGAAAGCTTTTCTCTGGAGATGTAAGATTTCATACCCTCCACTCCCCACAACTATGAAGTTCAAAGGAAACATTAGTGATTTTACAAATTTCATCAGTTAAGTGTAAAACTGTCTGTACAGGTAGTTTGCAGATGGATGGTGGAATAATTTTAAATTCTTCAGATTCATTCACTGCTTTTGAGATTTTTAATTATCCAGCTAAAGGAAGCTTTATTTTCCAATACGCCTTCTCAGTCCCCAGCAATCTCTGTTCAAGGACTTTTTTATTTGGGGAGTTTTCTCAGACAAACTGCCTTCTAGAATATTTTAAAGTTTTATGTGCGCCATTTCAAATTTTTTTTTGTCAACATTTAACAAATGTAAGGATAATGAAATCAGACCCAGCACTCAAACATGGTGATTTTTCCTGGCTGGAAGTCCTACTCATCACTTTTGCCTTAGCATATGGTTCCTGATAATGTATACAGATAATTTAAAAGAGAGCATCTGTTCTGGTTATGTTGGATTTTTTGTGTTTTTTTTTAATTTTTTTTTTTTCTTTCAGGAACCATATGGAGATGTGACAGAAAGGAGACTCCTTCGAGAGAAGCTCAAATGCAAGGACTTCAAATGGTTCTTGGAGAATGTGTACCCAGAGATTCATGTACCTGAGGACAGACCAGGCTTTTTTGGAATGGTACGTGGCTGCTGAGAAGGGGCTTCCTCACAGTTCTCTGAGCCCTCTGGCTAACTCAGTATGAAGGTATTTTTATGCCAAATTGATTTGGGATTTTGGTAAAATTAAGTTAGAACTGGTATGCTTAAAAATGTGGTTTCTATCAGAATCTTTATTCCAGGGGATCCTGTGTATGAAGGAGTTTTGTGAGAGGGTAGGAGGACAGGTAATGCTGCCATGAATGACACCTTCCAAGTAACATCTTGGAGTGTTAAAGGTAGTGAATTTTTTCCTTTAGTTCTTAAAACGTTGCATAGCAAAAAAAAAAAAAAAAAGAGTGTGATTTGAAACATGTATTTGCACACCATCATGCTTTGATGATTCGAAAGAGAGCTGATGTTACATGCTCCTAGATCATACAGAATTCTGTATGTCAAAACCAACATGTTAATTTTTACTGTGGAGGTCATTTTAAACCAGCACAGGGTAAAGCAATTTTCATTGGTTCAGTATCAGAAGCTCTTGCTTTTTTAAGAGTCAACAACTTTCTGTGCTGTTTGCAGCTTACGAATAAATATAAACTAGCTCCACATATATCACATTACAGTAATCTCATGTGGAAGGGATAAAGGCAGAGATGATGCAGCAAATACCTGCTTCCTCGGAAAAATGAGCAGATACCTGCTACATGTCTTATTAGGAAGGCGTGACTGCATTTTTCTGCCAGGTAAAAATGTGTAAAATACCTTCCTGATTAGCAGTGTCACACTGACTCAGAGGTACTTTTGCTGGCTACTGGATCACGCTGCAGATCTAGCTAAGCTGTGTTCGACACTGCTGCATTGCATCCAGCCCCTGTCACAACCGCCTTGTCTTGCTGCTATCTGCCCGTCGCTTACTCAGTCTCTGCTGGATCTCCTTCAGTGGAGAAAAAAAGCCCTGATCACTGTGAGCGTAAAAAAACATACAGGAACCAAGTGTCCCCACAGTGTTCCCTACTAGCTTTGTGACCCGTTGAATGGAAAAGATCCTAATGTGGAAACACTGCCGTTTCCCACGGGGAGCTGTACGTGCTTCCCACAGGGAGCTGTAGGAGCTCCCACAGGGAGCACAACGGTTGGCAGCAAAGCCCTTGGGAGCCTCTGGGAGAGCAGCCACTCTCCTCCATTTGTTGTGGAGTTTGCACTTGAGTTGGTATCTCTGTGTGATGACTGGCGTGAAAGATAATATCCACCATTATCAAGTACCTTGAGTAGACCCCGGTACAACATCAGTTTGTTTATTGCAATTTGGTGCTGGATCGCTAACTGACAAGGTCAAAGACGGTTGAATTAATAAGATATTATATGACTTACCTCCCAGGAGCATTTCGGTAACCTTATCCTCCCCTCTACCTTCACTCTTCACCCTCCAAAAAAAAGCCTAGACTGTTGGCAGTCATAGTTCTTCAACCTCCTGGGGAAGGGAAGGAATTTGTTTCGTTTTTTTCTTGATTTAACTGCACATGTCATCCCCGGGAAAGGTGTTGACAGCACCTAGAAATAATAATTCTTATTCAGAGCTGCTTGAGGTATCTATGGTGTAATTTAGTTATCTCTATATATTTCTCTAAAAACAATTCTTAAATGCTGTCATCTAGTTGTATGCATAAGAATACACCTTTTTTTTTTGTCAGGAAGAATTTAAAATGTGATTTAAGTACAGTTATACTCTAAGAAAGTGACAGTGCAAAAATGACACTTACTGATTCATCTGATTTGTGGATATTGAGTCCCATCTGCTAACTTCAATGAATCATCAATAGTGTTCTTTAGTCCTGCCTTAACTGTGTAGTGCTTTTCTGGTTCACAAAAATATTGTGTTTAAAAGCATCAGCTTTGTTAACAGCTCGGTTTAGTGCAAAGTTATTGAATAGTTCAGAGAGATTGCAAAGGACTACGGGGATTTCTCCCACCCTTGAAAATCTTTATACCAAGGTTGAAAATCCTCCTAAGGTTACCCATAGGTCAACCATATGTTATTGAATTAAATACAAGAATTACGGAGCAGCGTTCAGTGCCACGCGCTGACAAATGGATACTTGTGCTAAATTTTTTCTCGTGATACGTAGATAAAAAAACTGTACGAAGTTTGGTTATCTAAAAAGTGTCTAAAACTTTATTTAAACATACTGAATTTTGAATATTTTTGCCTGAGCTATGATTGTGTTCTTATAAACTGCCTGAGGCCTAGAAATGAGCGAAATGTCTTCTTACAGAGAATCCCAGAATTGTCAGTGATTCTTCTTACCTGTCCTTGGGCTCCATGCAGCTTTGGAGCTTTGTGTGGGACATGAACTAAACCTTCTGACTTCAATAATTTATGTGGGAGGCAGGAGGGAGTGAAGCTGGTAGGCGCTTAGTGGATTCGAATAATCCCTTTTAGGTCCTTGCATAGAGCATTTGATGGCTCTCTTTTTCTGGCATAGCAGCCGAATTGGCCATCCTTGAGCATGCGCTTATTGGTGCAGTATGTGCTGTACTCGTGCTTCAGCTGGAGTGAAATCTTAAAAAGACTGGAACCCCACGTCGGTGCAGATTGCCCACCTAGATAGACTAGACTAGGTCTGCTTAAAAAATCTTAGCTGCCCTGGGAATGGATAGTGTGGGGACCTCTGGGAAGAACTTTGAGCCACCTAGTGTATAATACTAGTGCTGTGATCTCCTCGTGCTACTGGTGACTGTGGAAATACATTGCTGCAAAGCAAGGGAATAGTCAGGGTTCCTCTCACCGCTGAGGAGACATTCAAGGTATGTATCTGAAGATAAAGATTATGGGGCAGTCCGGGAATTTCTCTTTGAAGGATTGCTTTTCAAACACAATGTTGACACAATTTTCAGGATTTTCTCTCTCCTTTTTTGTAAGTTTGATCACTTTGCAGTGAGGCATATTAAGTTCTGATATGAGAAGTTTTTATTTGTTCTTCCCAAACAGTTTCTAGCTGATCTTTCTTCCAGCTGAATGTGAAGCAACTAAGCTGATAGATGCCTGTTGTGCCTGTCTAGTTGATGAATCTCCTTAAAGGCATTTGCAGCTGACGGAATCAATTGGTAGATGAAAAACTTGAATTTTTCCATTGGCAGCTTCTTTACACATTTTCCCCCAAGACTATCTCATCTTCAATGAATTTCCAATTGTTTAGTCATAATTGTATTTTCATTTAGAACATGTATAACCTTAAAAAAAAATCAGGAAGATTTTAAGCCTTTAAAAGTATGAAGAATTTTTTTTACTGTGACATGAAAGAGACTGTTTTGTAAATAATCTAAATAACGCATGATATATGTGGACAGGCGTACTGAAGAAGAGATCTTAGCTATATGTCCTGAACTACGCAATCAAAAAGACTATTGCATGTCTAGTGTTAAAAGTTCTCAGAGGTATCAAGCTCCAAAACAGATTCCTCTAGGCTATACCTCTAAAACTGCATTATGATACAATTTGTAGAACTGCCACTTGAGATTGAGTTGCCACCCAGGGTAATGTCTGACTACACCAAGAGATCTGATGCCCATCACAGGAAAATATGCATCATGCTGTTCGCTGTACAGCCTCTGAAAGCTTGAGACAGACTTTCTGGAAGAAAATGGGATAAATTCAAGTGTTTGATATTAATCTCAGGTGAACACACCATCACTTGAGACACGTGCTTGTATGTTCTTGAGCCTCCTAGAGAGATCTGGACTTGCTGGCATGAACAAATGAATTCCAAAAGCAGTGTCTCATTGATTCCTTCAGAGGATCTTAGTTATCAACACTGCAGACCCATTTCAGCATTGCACTTAAATTAACAGAAATCTGAGGATATTCACAATCTTTTTTTTTCCTGAAAGGATGATATGAAAATTACTTACGCTTAGTAAAATCCATCTCTGTGACTGTTCGGATTTCCTGGTCAGTCCCATGAAGCTGTTGGTTTGCTAAAAATTCACATGTTACTGTGTCCCATGGTATCACCTGCCCATACCACTAATGCCTCAGCACCAGTGTCACTGTGGCAGAATGAAGAGAAAGGAGGACTGTGCTGCACTGGCCATATTTATCAACTAGTATAATGAAGTTTTAATGTGAAAAACCCTGTTGTTAATGCTTTGCTTACAATTATAATGACATAGATTTTACCTTAAAAAAACCAAACACCAAACCTAAGAATTATTTACAGAATGCCATTTGTATTGTGCTGTTATATGCAAGTGTCCTGATGCCTGGAATCAACAGATACAAATTTCTCCAAGCATTAAGGCATAAAAGTCAGAAATTAATATCTCAGTAGCTGCTGTTTATTACCTGTCCCAGCCTCCAAACAAAGTGGTAACTAAATGTCATTGCAGAGTACACCTGCAACATTTCAATAGGAGGCAAATACTGTAGAAAGATGCAGCCAGTAATCCTGCATGGGCAGAACTCTTTAGAACTGAACTGTGTGTTTTAACGGCAAGGTGATCAACATTTTTTTTTTTTCTTGCTTCTGTTTCTCTAATGCAGCATTCTGCAACAGAATTAAGGTAAGTCATGGAGAAAATTTTGTTCTTGTTGCATGACTTGTTTATAGTGGATATGGGAACAAAGATAGCTTCAGAAATGAATGGATGATTATTGTTTTGATAGAGCTCTTGCATGTAAAAGGAACTTCAACTGTGTGTTCTCATTTAACAAGAAAAAATTGGTGCTTCCAAAAATTGGTGCTACTTTTTTCTGCCTTGGAACAGAGGATGTAATTTATTTTACCTTTTTTTTTTTTTTTTTTTTTTGCATAAATGGTGATGCAATCAGATTTTCAAATCTGATTTATTTAAAATTTTTGTCATTTCAGATCAGGTCAATTAACAGCTTAGTATGCACTATTCCTGCAAATTAGGTCTTGAATGTCTCTTAGGTTTCCTGATGAAGTATGGGCATGAAAGAACATCTAACAATGATAAAACAAACAGAAAGGACCGGGTTGACATATGGACTGTGTATCTTTATATGTCTGCACATAGCACAAGCATTTATGCACGAAAGAGAAAAATGAGAGAATATATATGGTAGCATTCTAGGAGGACAGGCTCAATTTTGAACCATGTGAAATGAAGCTTAAGTTAGTAATCTTTTACACAGCTATTGTTTTGTGGTCTAACAAAACACTGAGTAGCATGCATAGGAGAGTGAACCATACTTCTGGTGGTGCATGGGATTTTAAAATTGGTTATTTAAAATTCAAGGCTACAAAAGGGAGGATGTGGTTGAGTACATGCTGGGGGCTGACAGCGAAGGGCGCACGCTCAGAGCGGTAGCAAAAGTGTTGGGTTGTCTGGAAGGGCACCATGGATAAGGGCTTTCCTGCCTTTATCTTCCCTTGGAGACAGAGGACAGTCAGGCGAAGTCACGTGTTATTCAATACATTAATGAGAGACTCTGTGATCCCGAGCTGCCAAGAACAACCAGAGTGGATCTGTGGTTTTAGAGATAGAATTACCGTTTTCAAGTGGTTATGACTTTAACTTGACATTTCCTGGTGTAGAATGTAGAAACATTAAAAGCTTATTGTTTGGTTCAGGTAGTACCATGGCAAAGTTAAAAATCATCTGTAAAAGACACTTTTCCTGTTTTTGTTGTTATGAAGGCAAACAAAATGTCTTTTGACAGCTTCAGGAGGGGTGCAGTGGTCTAGTGTGTTCCCATCAAACCAAGCAGCGCGTTCTGTAAAAACAGTGCCCAGGGGGTTTCTTTTGCTTGTAATAAATTTGGGCACTCAGGCTAAGGATGAATTTTGTTATACACCAACTTCGGATATAATTTTCTTCTGTACTGAAAAATTACACCAAATGCATAGCAGAAACATGCTCAGAGAGTAAATGAAGAGGCAAAGCCCGTAAGGGTAGACCTTCAGTCCTACGTTTATACGTTTGGCTCCGACAGGAGAGCCTCACAGCCCCAGCAGCCCTGCAAGAGCCCACAGGCCATGGCAGCTCGGTGTCCTCCCCAGCCACCCCAATGTATTGCTGCTGCCGTGGGCCAGCAGCCCAGGCACCCAGAGCACTGACAGCAGGAGTGGGCACAAAGCATCGGAAAGATGTTGGGCAGCAATAAAAGTAGAAGTTGGGAAAGCAAAATATATGTAGAACACAAGTATTTGATTTTTTTTTTTTTCCCCAGCTCGTGTGGTTCGCTCCATGTTGGGTTTGGTTCCGGTGGGGTTTGTCATGTTTGGTTTTTAGCCTTCTACAATCAATTTGTGTCTGTTTGTTTTCGACATTAAGAACTGAGGATACAATTATTACAACTAGGGAAGAGTGGTGAAATTACACCTTGCTGAAGTAACTCTCCTGAGATTTATCCTGCTTGTTCTTCTTGTCTGTGATACAATTACACTAGGTAATGGGGGCATTCAGTTTAAACCTATGTTTACAGACCTGTTTTGCTCTGTGTAATTTTAAATTTGGTTAAGTGGCTAAGACTAGGAGTCAGTAATTGTTGTGGCAGTGTTTAACTTACTTTCAGTTACTTTTGCCTCCTAAATAATTAAATGCAAGTCCTTGTTAATTAGCCTGATGTTTTTAAAATTGGGTAACTTAATATTTTAAAATTTAATCTAGAAGTTATAGACCTATTGTGTCAGAGATCAGCAACACAAGTAAAGAATGTTTCATAACATAGCTCATGTCTCTTTCCAAAGATATGTCTTATCCACCTTCATTATTTCTGGTCTTAAAAGCTGCCTGCTTGTTTAACCTCAAGAGGGTACTGGAGTCCTTTCAAGAACAAATCCTTCTAACATCTGCCACGAGATGTTACAGAGAAAAGTATATAGTTGTCTTTTCATAGGAAAATTGAATAAGTAGATTCTGAGGGGGAAAAGAAGACGTGGCAGACTCTCTTCCTTGTTCTGCATGAGTTGCTGGCTTGCTGGGTTTCAAGACAGCTTTTCGTAGTTCCTACCTACTTCATTTGCAAGTACACTGGAACACAATGTCATTCCTAGGGAAAGCCGTCATGTCTGGCTGCTTCAGTGCCCGACTCAAGACAGTACCAACACTTTATTTCACATGAGTCAGAGAGATGTTTCCATTGGATCCATTTGATCTATTCCAGGTAATTCGCACTAGTTTTGGGATATAAACCTCACAGCCCAGCAGGATGGTTGTAAAGCTACTACAGCACATCTTCCTTACTTTACATTAATACTTTAAAATATTATTTTGTTTTGATTAGCTGAAGAGTAGAGGAATGGCAAACTTCTGTTTTGATTATAACCCTACAAATGAACATCAAGTAACTGGACACAGGATCATATTGTACCCATGTCATGGCATGGGACAAAATCAGGTAAGATTTATGCTTTATTTTCATTTTGACTAACACTGTGGTTGTAATGTTAAAAGTATGGTAAAGGCACTGCAGTAGGGCTAAGAGAATATGTTGCCACAGTGAGGTGATCTTAGATCTAATTTTGATTCTTGCCCTGACTGCTTTTATGCCTGATGTATCTCAAGATCAGGTTTTCCTCATTCTGAAGATGTGTCTAGCCAGACCAGGGAACTCACGCATACCTTAATTAGACCTTTCCACAGAGCTTATTATTAGGAGTTAACAGCACAGGGGTGCAGCTGTACTGCTTATAGGACAGTGTTCACTCATCTCCAGCTGGTCAGACAGACCAGGACATCTCTGAGCTTTTTGTCTGTCCACGTCTCCAAAGTCCTTAATAACATTGTAAACCTCACCTAGTTCTGTTATCGGGCCTCTCCCAGATGCTTAAGCAACATATCCTTTATCTTTCTGAACTCAGCTTAGAAAAATATAAAAGCTCGAAGAGTGAAAACCAAGTCTTTATTGTGGAGAAAGCTTCTAATATGAACTGCATTTTAAATGAGAAAAGGAAAACAACACTCTGAGCACTATGCTTCAGATCTTAAAAAGAGGTAGATTTGTTTCTAATAAAGTTAATTTCTAATAGTTAATTTACAAATAGTTAATAATGGTTAATAGTTAATAGTTAATAACAAAGTTAATTTCTAATTCCTGCTCGGTCCCCATATGTTGCCAGGTCTAGTCAAGAGGTAGCATCCCTGACCAAAACAGGGAGGTTGGACTAGATGATCTCTAAAGTCACTTCCAGCCTAGGCCATTCTATGATTCTATGATTCTATGATTCATTGCCTGGAGTATTGGAACTATTATTTAGTATTATTTATTAGTTTATGTCTAGTTTATGTCTTAACTTCTCTAACGTTTCTGTCCTGGAGACCAAGATGCAGAGGAGGGCAGGAGGAGGAGAATGTTGCGTTCTAAAAGCCAAAGGATCTTGGTACTGACGGATACATGACAAGCATGCTAAGCCACACCAACCCATTTTACTCCCTCAGTTCAGCTCCACGCCCGAGTTAAACATACTTCTATACACCTGTATGGAAGATAAGTTAATAATCAGATAACCTGGTTAAGCCACATCCTTATGAGGAAGAGTTGATTACTTTTGTAGATTAATAAGTATTTCTTATGTGGGATTACATGCTCACATGCAAAAGGTATTTATAGATTTATTTTTCCCCTTGTATTACAGATTACAGAGGGGAGAGGGATTGAATCTTTTTGTTTTTCTCTGAGAAAAAAAGTTCAATTTTTACTTCTTCCATCAACAAAAAATAAAGACATAGGATAAAAGGTGAAATCAAAAGAGAAGCACAAGTCAGAGATGAATTGTCATGAGATAACATTTTTACAATTATCCTTGGTTTAGGTAGCACCAAAAGATTAACTGAATTCACTGCCAGGATATCACATTACTGGCTATTAATGCTTCTAGGTCTCTGCTGATGGTGCAAAGCCTGAGAGCAGGGATGCTCTTGGAGCTGCGCAGTTAGTGCTCCCTCTGCTGTCCTCCAGGCTGCAGAAGGAAGGAGAAATGGAGAAACTATCTGGCTGCAATATAAACTCACGGAAGAAAATATGACACAAAAGAATGGCAGAGCCTGAGGAGGGAAAGCTGAACACAGGAAAATAGGCAAAACAATATTGGTGGAATGGGCACAAGGCACAGAAGGACTGACAGAAGCCAGGGAAAGGGGGCCAAGGTGACAGAGGACAGAAATTTGGGACAGAGGTGGAGCAACAGGTGAAGAACGGCGCATGTGTGGCAAAGGAAGGATGTGTTGGGAGCTACAGGGAGGGAGCATGAAACAAATAAAATCACTGGAGTCCCCCTTTAATGGAAATGAGTAGGGGGACTGAACGTGGGTGCAGAGATACCAGTTCACAAATGGAAGCATGAATAGGGGTGACAGGTAGTAGTTTCAAGAGAAGAAGTGAACAGCAGGAAGAGCTATGGGTAGGGGAACAGAGGAAGGCTAAAATAAGGCAAGACATAGAAGCACAAGTGAGATGGGAAATGGAAGTCAGGATTGATGAACTTGCACCTCCTTTTTCTGGCTCACAAATACCCATGAAAATCAACCAGCGGGACATTTCTCTCCGTTTCCTTCCTGTCCCTCTGCCCTTTTGACAGGCATCCTTAAAAGGTACCAGGCTGCTTCTGGTGGCGCAAACTCCTGAACTCGGTGACTGGACTGAAGTAGTTCCACATGTACATTCACCGCTGTCAGCTGCTAGAACTGATGGTGACAGGGTTGGTCATCCTTTAGTTCGATCGGCGCTAAGGAGAGCAAGGCACTTTACCACAGAGTTTCACAGATGTTTGCTGACAACAGGCAGCCCTTAACTTTTGTTTTGCCCTTGAAAAGGAATCTGCCATCCTAATCCCAAGCTTTTCTGCCTGCTCTCGTTCACTCTGCTCTCATCACTTCACTGTTTACCTATATACAGTTTTAGCAGCAAACCTTCATTACAAAGCTATGCTCCAGTCTCCTGTCCTGCACCATGTCACAAACAGCTCCAGTTTATCCACTTCATGCTATTTAACACTTTGTTTTCCATGCTGGCTGGCTCCCAGTTTTTCTCTAACACCCTTGCTCTCTCTCTCCCTTCACTTATTCCTCCCAGCAGTTACTACCCACACGAGGTCACATTTTGTTCCTTTTCACATGCCTTTCTTCTTTCCTGTCTAGCTCCCATTTTTAGTCCTCTAGTCTTCTCCTTTTCATCCCTTCCTCCAGCTGCAGAATTTGTTCCACCATTCATCACTTTCTTCCTTAAATTGTGCTCCCTGCTGCACATTCACAGTCTCATGGTATTGAGCTCTGCGCTCTCAATTTTTTATGAAGTCCAGCACCTCAATTTTGTATCTCAAAATGTAAAACCACTCTTGGAAAACTAAGGTCCCTGGTAATTTGTTGCTGTTTTTCCTCGAATACGTGGCCTCAGCGAGAGGGGATGTGACTACAGTGATAGGAGTAGGGTGTATGTGGAGGAGAGGCAGAAAATACACAAAACATTGGCTATGCTTAGTGCTTGTACCTGAAGTTGCTGATGTTTTGTGGAAGTGTCTGTCCCGGTAGATGAGAATGAAAGGCTTTGAAATCCAGACACCAGTAAAGCCCATTGCCCCTCTTGTTATGTCATGGAAGCAGGAGAGAGGGCACCAATGTGTGACAGCAGGAAGCTGACCTGATGAGGTAAGAGGATGGGAAACCACTGAGCAGCTTGTGTGACAGCACAACCCCCCCCCCCCCCCCCCCCAATATTCCCATTTGCAGCTGATTTGGGGCAAAAAGGGAGAGGCAAACAAAGAGTTTAGCAACTGGGTTTCCTGTGAAAGGGGTATCAGACCTGGTAACCTCTCTGCTAGTTCTACCCATCAAGTGCAAACTTGTTTCTGCATGTAAAGGAGCCAGGCACAGAGAGCGATGAGAGTGTGTTTCAGGGTTTGGTAAGGCAGCCAAAGTCTGCCTCTGCCCCTAGTGCCACAGAGCACTGAGGCACCTGGGGCAGAGCTGTAGGCACTGGGTAAAAGGCCTCATCAAGTTTCCTGGTAGCACTTAAGGAACCCACTGGTTCTCTGACGGAAGGAAATGCAGTAAGGCTACTAGTTACTGGGCCATGGATCATTTTGAAAATGCTTCCTTTCTGCCCACAGAACCCACTGGGCTAGGAAAGAGCACTAAAACCACTTCCCTTTTGAGGAGAGATTTATCTCATGTATTACTGGAGCTTGAAAAAGCCTGAAGCCTGAAGTATTTATTCCATTTGAAGCAGCACAGGGTAATGAACTGTATAATGTTCATTTGGGCAAAGAGGCAGGAGTGCTTGGTTGCTAATACTATAACCGCAATTCTTAATGTTATTGAGAAATTAACCATTTTACTTGCTTTTCTCCTCCAAAATCTGCTACAAGTCCTTGGGAGGCCATTCAAGAAAGATGCCAGTAGCAAGGACTGCTCTGACCTAGTAGCTGCTCCATCTACTCCTGATGCATGTGGTATAACCAGCAGCTCATAGGCTTTCACTGATAGTGAATACAAATGGCTAAAAAGAGTTATTAAGTCTAATAAATCCAGTAATGAGCAAGGCCCTAAAAGTGGCAGCTGTAAAAAAGCGTCCATCCAGACACAAATGAGCAGGAGCGAAGCTTTTTCTTTATTCACAAGACATAGGCTTGTAACTCACCACGGTGCACGAAGTAGCAGGCTTGCTGTGTGCCGATCAGGTACTGAACCTAGGAACTAAAGCCTGAAGGTTGGGGAATAGCCCCTGCCTATTAGGGTAAAAAATAAAAATAAAAAAGGACAATATTATTAGAATTTACTTTTGTTGATGGTGAGACATTTCTGGCATAAAGCAAATGTCATAAAGCCAGTGGAGCTTGCATCATATGAACAGGTCCTAGCAATGGGATCCAAGGGGAAATCAGAGTCTCCTGGGTGTTCTGTCAGCAGGTGGACTTGAAGTTCCTTTCTTGAAGCACTTCCCCTTGTGGCTTACCACAAATGAATGATGGCAAACAGGTTAGTTCTGGGTCCAACGAAAAGCCATGGAGCTCCACAAGCTGCAGCAGGTGACAACATTGGTCTGTGTACAGCTGCAACAGCCACTGCAGCAGAGAAACTCCTGCTTGCAATAAAAGGAGTGGCTGAGGGCATTCAGTGGAACAATTACCGTCAGCGTAGTCTAGATTAGAGCTCTTGCACCTGGAAATGGCTGACTGCAACCTTTGTAATCACATGGTCTTGTTTACATTAAAACTCTCTTTCCATTTTCTTTTTCTTTCGGGGTTAATTAGCTTTAGTTTTGTGGTAAGATCAAGTATATACAGCGTATCTGAATTGTTACAGCCCCATTCATATGGTCGTACAGTCTCCTTCTCCAGGGGTGAAACAAAACAAAAGACGATTCCATCTTTCCCTCATGCTTTTACTGGTTTTCACTAATGCAGCTATAATATTGGTAACAAGCAATTTTCTGATGTGTATAAAACTCTCCTCTACTGAGTGTAATCTAAATCAGATCTAAACACACATCCCTGCACTATAGTCATCTAAATTATTTACAAGCATGCTAAATACAAACAGATCTCAAACTCTGCAGCTCTTTAATGAAGTCCAAAATTTGGCAAATGTCCATGATAAATATAAAATTTTTAAGGAAGTCTTCAACCATAATTGCTGCAGAAGCCAAGATGTTTTACAGCATGATCAGAACACCTCTACAGAATATTGTGCAACAAGTAAAACCAGTAAATCAACCTTAAAGTTCTGTTCACGTTTAAAAGCAGCTGTAACTAATTCACTTAAAATAATATCTTAAAATGTTATATAATAAATGCCCATCTCCACGTGTATTATTTGCATTTGTTTGAATGATGCAGTGAGTAAGTCCTAAATTAAAAGTAACATTGTTTTGTGACAGCTGAATTAACAAGGTATAGTGTCAGGCTATAAACTGTTTTCTGTCCTATTTTTAAGTGTGGTCTAGAATGTTAAAGTAGAAAATTACAGTTGAATTTTCTACATTCTTTAGTGCTGGAATGTCTGTTTTCCAGGACATTTGTTCAGCATTTCATACATTTTAAGTGCTACCAGACTAAAGCAGTGCTGTGGTGAGATTGATTTTTCTGTAAAATAATAAGCAAACGGCAGCAATTGAGGCTCCTTGAATATTTTTGGCAGAATTTCTCTCCATGATAGCAACTTTAATATGTGAACTTAATTATAGTATCCTAGTATATCCTCCCTAAAAATACTTTCCTGTGTACATATGAAATGACTTGTCCTTTTGTTTCTTCTCTTGGGTTTTGTAGTTTTTTGAGTACACGTCCCATAATGAAATACGTTACAACACCCGACAGCCAGAAGCCTGTGCAGCAGTTGATTCTGGGACCGACTACTTGACAATGTACACGTGTCAAGAAAATGCCCACAGTGTTCCCGAAAACCAGAAGTTTGTTTTCAGAGAGGTAAGTGTGCCTACTTTCTTTTGGGTATGTTTCTTTTTGGGGAGTGGGTAGAAGGAGAATTGTTGAGTATGTTTCTCTTTGTCTTATTGCCTACACATCACACAGACCAGAACATCAGCATAGATCTCTGGGAGAAATACGCTATCTTGGCTTTTGATATCTGCAAATAAAAGTGGGGCAGCAGCATGCAGATGAGGAGTATGCCAGTCACAAACAATAGGAAGATGAGAGGAAGGAAAGTGCCCTTTTCAACCTCAAAGGAGTTGAAGGTTGGCAGGGGTCTTGCTTCTCCCATCTAGTGCTTTTTGGGGGATCCTCAGTTCTCTCTCACATCTCACCCTTGTTGTCTTCTCCTGGGAACAGAGGTGTCTCCACATACATATGGCCTTCTTCAGCTCTTCTTTCTTTTTATTTCCCAGTGTTTATACCACCATATATCCCCGATTCTTCCCATACCACCATTACTCAACACTCTTCCCTGCTTTTGAGCAACTGCTGCTTCCCCTCTGCAAGCCAGCTCTTGTGACCCTCCCTGTGAGCACCAGAAGTGCTCCCTGAGCTTTTCTGCAACCTAATGTGGATTTGTGTAATTTGATGCACCATCAAAAAATACCTTCCATCCTGCTTCTACCCCTACACAGCACACATCTTACTGGTTGTGGTGACTCAGCAAATCTGTACCTCTCTTCTTCGACCTTAATGGCTGCTCCCAGAGGGGAGAAATACTGAGAAGTACGGCGTATGTTTAATAAATGTGTGATCTCAGAAAGCCTCGTGTTTGGTAATTTTTAATCTCTGAAGAAGTTTCTGGATGCCTGAGAGAAAACAAATTGGATGAAAAATGATGGCCTTGGTCAAGTTCTGAAGTTTTATTATTTGGCTAAGAGAAAAGGTTACATAATACCTCAAAATGGTATATTTACATAATGTGTCTGCACAATGTATCTAAATTCTACAGGCTCCATGGCTGACAAATTTCATGCTTAGATCCTACCACCAGTATTAGGTGGCAGAGTAAATTCTGAAGAAAAATATGAAAACTACTGTCCATTTGCTAAATCTATTCCAGACTGAAACTCACAGTGATATTTCTGAGTAGAACAAAATATTTAAAAGTCTGACTTTATAAATGATGTTTTGTTTCTGATTCTGACTTTAAAAAAAAATTTTCAAGGTCATATGCATCAATCCGTAATTTGACATATATTGAATAACCCTCAGTCACTTCAGAAAGTAATTGAGAAATTGAGTTTTGGAACACCTGTTTCCACTGCATTCCTAACCATTAACTTTCAGCATCTGAAACTTTAGGAACTGTTTTTAATCTTCTTTCTTTCTCATGATCACTTGGTGCCTGTGTGTGATTTACATGCATTGCTCTGCTCCGGTTCCTTCCCTTCTATTGCATTAAATCAAAATCACCAGTCCCCACCTTTCAAGGCAAGTGATGGGTGAGGTGTCAGTACCACGTTTCTCTTGCTTTGTGTGCAGAAGTGTCAGACACTGGAAAAGCTGTCCTTATGGATGCAGCATAATCAAAGATTTGAACAGCTTTCCCAGCAGCCTGGCAAGAATTAAGTTCTTAAGGGCACTGAGTCAAACAGGAATGAGGCAGATACTGATTAGTCCGCTCAAAAATTTGAATTATCATGATGGAAACAGGAATGTCATTCAGCAGCTAAGTCTGTCAGCAAGCCCATGAGCAAGTGCAAACTGCTGGGCATCCATGCGATGCTCCTGATGCCAGAAGGAGCAGGCGTTCAAAAGAGTTACACAAACAGGGTCTTAGCATTTTTGTTTTGAAGCCGACAAGAGGCTTTTGAAATGGTTACATGTGGGAATGTCACCTGGCCAAAGGAGTGGTCTCAGAGCAGGGCAGCTCTCCACAGCTGGCGATGCCACCTTTTTGCAGCTTGCTATCCTAGTTGACAGCGCTCCCAGGTTGGAGGAGCGACGTGAACTGGAGATGAAATGTTCTTGGAGACTCCCATAATAGGAGGGCCTGAGGCCACAAAATATGTTCTTTAGGGAATCCAACAGACCTTAAACCTCTGAGGCAGCTGTGCTGCCCTCCAGGAAAGCAAGCTAACTCCACACACATCTGCAGGCAAGGGATACACTTAGATATTTTTACCTTTTCTGCTAAAAATATACCCTGTGAGGAATGGGAATTTTTTTTTTACTAAAGATATGTCCAGCATCTGCACTTAAGGAACATCATTTACATTTTACTTGCAAGATGTGCAGTAAGTTGGTGAATTTGGGTAATGCCTGTACTTGGCTTAGATTTTCTCTGCCTATGTTCTGGTGCAGTAACAAAAGGCAATGAAGGTGAGTGAAATTAGCACATCCTTTACAGGTGTAGATGTCAAGATATCACTCTAAAGCAATGTTAATATAAGTTTAAAAGCAGGGTCTTCTGTTAAAGTTTCAGAGATCCTCAAGTTACGCATTTTGGCTTCACTGCACGGCCCCACGAGAAGGTGTGTGATATTTACTTGTTAGGAATCTCTTCTGTTACTTTTAAAACACAGGGCTATGCTTGTAATTTTTAAGACCTGAAAAGCAAAAGTTATTTCTGTCTTTTGTAGGATGGTACCTTATTTCATCTACAAACCCAGAAGTGTGTACAAGCCGAGTCGAACGCTTACAATGGTAACCCTGCACCATTGCTACGACCCTGTACCAACTCGGACTACCAAAAATGGTTCTTCAAAGAAAGAAGTTGATACAGATGTCATCTAGGCCACAGCTGAATATGAAAATGTGCTCTTTCTGGTCAGCAGTTAGTCAGCCTTTCAAAAATCACAGAAGTGATATATTTTTGTATGGAAAGAACTGTAATTAGTTTACAAGCCTTGGATTTCATTTTCTGGAGCGTTAAAAGGCATTGAGCATTGTGAGCTACGCAAACTAAGTGTAGTGGTCATATCATGCCACAGAACCTGCTTCTTCTTTTTTTTTCCTTTATTTGGCAGCTATGTAACTGCTTCGGAAATGTCTTAGGTTCTTTTCACAAGTGACAATACATTTTTTTCATCTACTGTGTGACAGTAAGGCAGTCAAAATAATTGCACTAATGTTATCTGCCAATAACTTAAGATGTTTATTTTTCTACTGGAACATTTTTCAGTTAGGCCTTTTAACAGATAGTAGTTAATAATTCCTCTCACCTTTTTAATTCCGAGAAGTTAAATGTAGGCCGGATTCTGCCTTAAGTGACTACCACAAAACCCTTACTGAAGACAGTGTGGATTTGCACATGAAGGCAGAGAAGGTCTGCGTGTTTTTGCACAAATAACAATCTAGATGCATACAGATTGCACATGCTTGACAATAATATACATTAAATGTTGTGACAATTTTAGATGCTCATAGAACTTGACAAGTTTCTAATCATGCTTAAGTCTGATTTTGGAGTAAAATGGGGGTTCTCTCATCTTCCTTAAAGAAATAAGGCAACAATACTTAAAGGTGATGCTCTGGGAAAAGCTACTTAGATTCACATGGATCTGGCTGTGTGACTGTGTCCCAGACTGCACAACTTCAACATTATGTGGATTTTCAACGTGCACAAAACTTGCAAGATCAGACCTAGCAATAATTCTTCAGACAAATTTCAAAATTAAGATAAAATTAATCTACAAAATTGTATCTCATTAAATTGTAAACAGTTCACATAAAAAGGATTATACAACACAAATGGTTTTGCAACTAATTGATACGATATGCAGTTGATATATTAATATAAAAAGACTCGTCTTTCAGACAGACCTTGCATGTTGCCTGGGAATTCCTCTTCTGCTAAGTTGGCCATGTCAACACATACGCTCTTACTGGAAACATGGAGTGTAGTCTGCAGCGGTACAAGATGTTTTCTGCCATGGTGTGTGGGATCTGCTTTACCCAATCAGACAAGTAGTGTGTATAGCAATGTAAATACATTGGTCATTGACCATCATCATTACAACATTGATTAAAAGGGTTTCAGCTCATAATGAAAGTTTCTTTATCAGCTGGAGGTACGCTTAAGTGTAGAAGCAGGGAAAATTTCAGCCTTTTTCCTCTCAGAAGTCTTGGCATCTGTTTCAACTCATTGTGGATGTGTTTTGTTATTTGTTATTTGCCTTTTTTCCTGTTTTCTATAAAAAAACGTACAGCCTTTTCTTTAAACCCTTGTAAGCTCATGCCATTTTGGCATACCTATTTATATGATTACGGTGTGGGGGAGGGTTTCTGCCTGTAGGAGATGAATATGTATGTTCTTCCAAGGTCTTTCTAAATCCATGTGGATGTTTTTGTGAGCACCTTTAAAGTTTTGTCTCTCTGGGCTGGACTGATGAAATTGATGTTAGGATCAATAAAATATTTTGTGATTCAGTAGTGGGAACTGTCTTTACAACTTTTTTTTTCTTTTTTCTGATGACCAGTGGTTTTCTTTTAATCATTTCTCTGTTCTCTTAGGCTCTGATCCCTGCAGCACTTGGGAGAAGACAGTGTTTTTTAATGGTCTCTCAAGTTCCATTTCCTGAACTCAGTAATGTTTCTGTTCACCTGTTAGCAGCACTGGTGTGCACTTTGTGGAGCCACAAATCAAAACTGGATGACTGCATGAGAGAACTGTGAGAGCTCCAGCAACACAGCAAGGATTTCTATTCATTTCTGCTTTGCCTTCTTGACTGTTGATTGAGTTACATTAGCATGTTAATAAGAGCCCAATAGACAAAACTGTCATTGACCTCCATGGTCAATGAGGTTTTTCTTAGTTTTGGGACTTGAAGATTTCATCATCAGGTGGTGGTATGCAAGTGAAACTCCGTAACAAAATTATTTTCCATATATCTTCCCACTCTGCACTTATTTAGAGGGACCTGCTAGCCTGGGTTGCATATTTGCTAGGGAAGCACATTTAGGTTGTGTTCAGTACCAGACATGGAACATAGCAACGTCACCAGCTTGCTCCCCTGATGTTGGCCTTTTAGTCTATCTCTACCATTTTTTCTTCTTGAAATCTTTTTCTGCTCAGCTTACTGGGATTGTATTAATGTCTGCCTTCAAGTTTGGAGGGTGAAGTCTCTGAGTTGCAAAGTGCATCTTCAGACTTCTCTGTGAGGTCAGGACTACCTGCTGAGGAATGGACTGTGGACTTAGGGCTTCTCAGCAGAGGAGGCTGAGGCTTTATGCCTCACAGAAATGGAAAAGCTGAAGGACTTCGGTCACAAATGGATACTTCATCTGGTTCTGGCCTCTTTGAAAAAGAGAGAGAGAGAGGAACACTTTCTACATGCTTCAGTTCAAGAACCAGTAGGTCCTCCCTTTCTTAGTATTCATCTTCCTTTTATACTTTGAGCTGTGGGAAGTCTCAAGGGTCCTTCTTCCATTTTGTACCAACACTGTTCAAAAGAAGAAAGGATATTTTTTGAATATAGACAGATCAGCTGAACAAATTGTCCTAAGAAGGTATTGTCCCAGCGCACAGTAAGCCGTACAAAATTCTAGTATAGAGATGAAGACATCTGTGTTCCAAATTCCAGTCCTTCCTCATTGCCTAGCTGTGATGAATACAACCTGTCTCATGTTTATTGCCCTTTTTTATAGGCATTATAGAGACTTGGCATGATTCTGCTCTTCTCCCAGGTTCCTCCCCTTTCCCTTGTCTGGTGTTCCTTTGATGTCCCTAGGTGTGGGGCATGTTTGGCATGGTTTTGGCACAAAAGGTTAAGCCAGGAGTTTTTCACAAAATTAAACTGCAAAATGTTTTCCTAATTTTCCATATCCAGTGCTTAATACACCTTGAGAGAGGAATAGTAACATGCGAGGAGTCTTTAATAAGCTACCTGATGGTATTATCTCCAAAATGAGAATTTGGGGGTTTAAGTATTGATTGAACTTGCTGATTTTTTTCTGAATTAAAAAAGGTTTATTTCTTAGTTTTTGTATTCCTTTATAAAAAATAATAATTGCAATCTAGAGTGTAGTCTGGTGTCTAATTCTTTACCATACTTCATTGAACTCATCGGGTGACTATTTAGCTACTTTTTTCCCTTTCTTTTTCCATCGTTGTCCTCTCATATAAACACTGTGGGTCCTTGACATGAACTAGAACTCACTGTATTTTCACTTCAACAGAAGCCAGTATATGAACCTTCTTCCTTCTGAGAAAGAAACCACTAAAACCTCTGTATGTGCAGTCTTGACTGAACCTTTATGGTGGAGGGTTGTTTGAGCCTGCACAAACACTCAGGAACAACAATTGTCATTGTATACGCATCGGTCTACACAACTTAGAAGCGGTATTTCTTGGTACCTCTGCTGAAACACAGACTCAGAACTGTGTTCAGTTTTTGTTAGATCTATAGAAAGCAATAATATTTACTGGAAAGGGAAATTCATATTGGTTGGTAACGCTGAGACCAATGCGATTGTGCTCCTGTTCCCTATGTATGAAAACGTGCAGTTACACAGTGATACTGCTGGGAATTAAAAATCTGATGTTATTTTAATTTCATTTGGGTCTCTTAAGTCTTTTAGATTGGGAGATTAATTTGAAGTTGAGCTCTATTCTGATGCCCTGATAGAAGATGAGCAATCAAGAAGATGTCTAAAGAGACAAGATCATGCACCCCACACTTGCAACATGGGGAGGGGAGGGTTGGCAGAGTTTGAGAACACTGTATAGACTCGTAACAAAGACAAAATTTTGATTGTGCCAGCAAGTTAGCTGAGGTAGGTGGGTAAGTCCTTGGGAGGGAGGGAGGAGGAGATTAGCAGAGCTCCTCCCGTTCTGTTGGGGTGCAAGTAGTTGACTGCAACAGCAAAAAGTGGGTTTGACTTGGAGGATTACAGTATTCTTCCACTTCCCATTTACAGAGGAAAACATGTATGTATATGCTGTACTAAAATTACTATGCCTAGATCAACAGTTTTCAATCTTTTTTTCCAGTCCATTACTCACTGCCATTTATATGAATAGACAAAGCCTGTTTAGACCAGTCCTAGTCGGCTCTGACAGGAATGATGTGGCGGTAGATGACATCCTTCTAGAGGCTTCCAGGATTTCCAAAGGTGATTGGAGATGGAAACAGGGCAGGACCTTCTCAGTGACTTCTAACTCTGAAAGCAAGAACATGGAAGATGTAGGAAGTGAGTCACTGACCCGATGATGTTTTCATGTAGCTTCAGTCCATCTCCCAGATTGGGAGAGGACTTGCAGCAGATGTGATTTCTCTCTGGGGTCTAAGGGAAAAATCAGTTTTCTGTATTTCTTGAATTTATCCACGCTCTGAAGATATTTAACTTGCAGCTGAAGAAAAAGTGATTAAGGGAGTCATACCGGTAAAGATACTTAGACCTGAAAGTCATGAATTAGGTACTCTATGATAAGCAAATATAAAGAATATATAGAGAACAAAAATGTTCACTATGCATACACTGTGAGAAGAGGTAATAATAACCAAGAGAAACTGGAAATTATTATTAGCAGGAAGATATTCTGTGTAATTGTTTTTACTGAAATATAGTTGAAGGATTCACATGATTGAAATACTGAAGTGATTGGGTAACATGCCAGGAAGAAAGTGACATTCGATTTTCAAGGAAAGACAACAGGATTTACAATTCTTGTGAGCTGATATTTTAGCCAACAAGTAATAATTAGATACAGAGGGTGCCTGGTGTAGACCACCAAATAAGAATATAAAACCTTACTGCATAACAGATAAATGATGTC